ATCTATTTAAATTAAATCTCAAGTGTTACAATCACCCCCACTTAGGAACGCAACGTCCTCGTTGCACCCATAAACCAATCTCAAATCTCAATCAAATCCCAGAATCTTCCCCCGCTAAGTGCGTGCCCGATATCCAACGGGTCAACACACTGTCGCAGGGTTGCTCTGATACCATCTGTAACACCCCGGCCTCGCAGGACCCGAGGTAGCTACTCTAGACCAATAGTACTGTCCTCACAAACCGCCACTAGCCTTTCCCGTGCACTTTGTCCTCACTCATGCGCGCCCTGAGAAACTTCCCAGGGGGTCACCCATCCCAAGACTACTCCCGTGCAAGCACGCTTAACTTTGGAGTTCTTGGCTAATGAGCTCCCTTAAAAGGAGATGCATCTTGTTGGTATGAGTAGTACTATTAATCTATTTAAATTAAATCTCAAGTGTTACACATAGGGTTCAAAATTCCAGAGGAGGAATGGAAAGGTCATGAGGTATTTCTTAATCACTTGAAAGTTTTTGGTTGTATTTCTTATGTCAAAGTTAGAGATGCATATAGTGACAAGCTCGAGGCAAAGGCAAAGAAATGTATCTTTATTGGGTACGGGCTGGATGACATGGGCTACAGGTTCTGGGACAACCACAGCAAGAAGGTTATCAGAAGTAGAGATGTCACCTTCAACGAGAATTCCCTGTATAAAGATGATCTTGCAGCAGACAATGGCAAAGGCAAGCAACCAGAAAACAAACAGCAAGTGGTGTTTGAAGGGATGTCTGAAGACGACATAGCACAACCTATTGGTTGTGATGGCATGGCTGGAGGCTCAGGGAGCAGTGGGAGCTCAGGAGATACAGGAATTTCTGAAGATAGTGGGAGTGATGAAGATAGTGGGAGCTTGGAGGAAGCTACTCCACAAATCAGACAGTCCACTAGAAACAGAAGACCTCCTAACAGATATTCTCCTTTAGCAAATTATCTATTGCTGACCGAGAATGGAGAGCCAGAATCTTACACAGAGGCGCTGATCGTGAAGGATTCCATACAGTGGAAGAAGGTCATGGAGGATGAGTTAGATTCACTTGACAAGAACCAAACCTGGTCCTTAGTCAAGTTACCACCGGGAAAGAAAGCTTTGGAGAACTAGTGGGTGTTCAGAATCAAAGATGAAGCAGATGGGAGCAAAAGATACAAGTCGAGGTTAGTTGTCAAGGGGTTCCAACAGAAGAAGGGGGTTGATTACAATGAAATCTTCTCTCCGGTTGTGAAGATGACTACTATCAGGTTGATCCTTGGTATTGTTGCTGCTGAAAATTTGCAATTGGAGCAGCTGGATGTAAAGACTGCTTTTCTTCATGGCAACCTTGAAGAAGACATTTACATGGCTCAACCAGTAGGGTTCCCAGTGAGTGGTAAGGAGAAGTTGGTGTGCAAACTCAAGAAGAGTCTATACGGGCTAAAGCAAGCTCCTAGACAGTGGTACTTGAAGTTTGATAGTTTTATGCAGCGGAATGGGTACACTAGATGCAAGATGGACCATTGCTACTACTTGAAGAAATTTAAGTCTTCATACATCATCTTTCTTTTGTATGTTGATGACATGTTGGTGGCTGGAGTAAATATGCAGGAGATCAACAAGCTTAAGAAGAAGTTGTCAGAAGAATTTGAAATGAAGGATTTAGGGGAAGCGAGACAGATTCTTGGGATGAGCATAGTCAGATGCAGGATAGAAGGTACTTTACAGCTTTCACAGCAAAAGTACATTCAGAAGGTCCTTGAGAAGTTCAGAATGACGGATGCTAAACCAAGGAGTACACCGTTAGGGAGTCAACTGAAACTCTCCAAGCAGCAGTCTCCAAAGACCAATGAAGACAAAGAAGAAATGGCTAAAGTTCCTTATGCATCAGCCATTGGCAGTTTGATGTATGCGATGGTGTCAACAAGGCCAGACATTGCTCATGCAGTGGGAGTTGTTAGCAGGTTCATGTCAAATCCAGGAAAGGAACATTGGGAAGGAGTTAAGTGGCTGTTACGCTACTTGAAAGGCTCTTCTGAAACTGCCCTATGTTTCAGAAGGAATGATGTGATCCTTGAAGGATTTGCCGATGCTGATTTGGGGGGTTGTTATGATTCCGGGAATAGCACAACGGGGTATGTATTCACTATTGGAGGTACGACAATCAGTTGGATGTCTAGACTACAGAAGAGTGTGGCTCTTTCAACCACAGAAGCAGAGTATATGGCCATTGCTGAAGCAGCCAAAGAGTTAATCTGGTTGAAGAACTTTCTTTCTGAGTTGGGCATGAAGCAGGGAGATTGCGCTCTATATTGTGACAACCAGAGTGCTATTCATCTCGCAAAGAATCCGGTGTTTCACAGCAGAACGAAACACATCAAGATGCGGTATCATTTCATCCGAGAGTTGATTGAAGATGGTACTATAAATTTGTAGAAGATCCTTGGTACGAAGAATCCAGCAGACATGCTAACCAAGGCGGTGACAACGGAGAAGTTGAAGCTTTGCATGGCTTCAACTGGCCTTCCAGATACTTGATGAGAAGGCGTGAACGAGAGAGAGAGAGAGAGATCAGGGGTTTTACAGAGGATACAAGTTCTTGGATGTCAGATGATTGTTGAACAATCCTCCAAGTGGGAGATTGTTGAAGGTGGAGCCTTGTATCTACAGCAGCAGGAGATACCCGACCGGGTAGGGTCAGTCACCCGATCGGGTATGAGGCAGTTTTTGGCCGGGCAACTCTCTGGATTGGAAACCCGATCGGGTAAGGAGAATTACCCGACCCGGTATGATGTGAACTTGGCCGGGCAACTCACTGGTTTGGAGCCCCGATCGGGTAAGGAGGTTTACCCGACCGGGTTCGTGGAAGGTTTTGGCCTCTGTTTAGGATACCCGCCCTGGTTTCGACCCGGGTATGCGTTTTGAGGAGACACCCGACCGGGTACAATAGGAGACCCGATCGGGTCTGCGGAGTAATTTTTTAATTACGGACTTAATTTTGGGCCTGCGGCTCTAATCCTTATTTAGGTTTTCTTAAACCTATTTAAACACATCTTTGTACGTGTAAGACCTCTTGACGTCGACATAATAATATACATCTCTCTCTCGTTCGCCGTGGACTAGCACAATCACCCCGATTGTGTGAACCACGTAAATTCTTGTGTTCTTGCTCTTTAATTTATCGTTTACTTAACCTAAATCGTAATAAGCTATGTAGGCATGTAGCCGTCCAGGCCTAGGCCAATGAGTGCCGAATGTACCCGGCACTTCCAGACAGGGAAATTGGAATTGGTTAATTTGATAGAGAAGTGTGTAGATGCCGTGAGAGGCACAACCGGGGTAGTGGCGGTAATCACCATGATCAAAAAAAAATTGAAAGCTCGTTAGACAGAGGCTCTTCATACCATGTAAAAAGTATATTGTATTATTGATCGTATGTAATCTACATGAGATGTGTCGTGTATATATATATTGACTACACTAAGCAAGAGATAAGTCTAGCTAACTGCTTCCACTAACTTAGGGATAAGTATTGGAAGTAGTGTATACAAGAGGGACTCTAGTGTATGTACGTGTGTAACATAATTTGTGTACGTAATTAATTAATGTACAAATAATAATTAATTATGACTATCTCTAATATCGTATACATGATAAGTTAAAATATATTTACATATGTGTACTAATGATTTAAATGCAATACGGATATTACGAAGTATGTATTACGGTGTTCGTTTAAATTTCTTTGGAAATTTTCCAGGATGTGACTAAAACTCATTGAGTTTCTCTAAATATAACTAACTTAGTTTTAGACATTTGTATCATTGAAAATCAAATAAAAAATCATTTATATTTAAATGTTGAATGACGAAAATATCCTTATTTAAAATATGTGCATTTTGTACTAATTTCGTCCAATTAAAATTAATTCACTTTATATTGCTATTACTGCACGACATTATTGCATATTTGGTAATAATCACTTAACTTCTGTCAAAATTAATTCTGTTCTCTTTCACTTTAGAAAATTATTTATAGTTTATATTTTTCTTTTTCTAGATTTAATAATTTTATTATTTTACGTCCTACTTGCACAATTACATTTAATTTTAGTTCTATTGAATGCTTTTTCTTAATTATCTTTGAGTTCTAGTTACATTAAAATAAACACACAGAGAGATTCACGCGCTATTGCTAAATTCGACATTTAGGAAAATAAGTTTTCACTTTTCAGTTATTGTTTCGTTTGAGGACTGTGATCAATGATTCATACCGTAAGAAAGTCAATAATTTTCCCTGCTTTCTCTTCATAAGAATTGAATGTCGCATACGTACTATATATGTGAAATTGGACAGAGCATATCATGTAGGTGCATTTAATGAAATCAAACGTCATATATAGTATATACCATCACTTTCATTTTAAAGGTAAGCCAAGATGCCCATCCATATGACCATATTGTGCATTTCTGTGTATTCTTATTTTCCTACGTACCTACTTTAACCCCACCCTAAGAACACATCAATGGAGTCTGGGGAGGTGGGTGTAGTCCAATGGATGACCATCCACCCCCAAGTCTCTTCTCTGTGAGAGATCTTGGGTTCAATTCCCACCAAGGAAGATGAGGGAGGTCTTGCTCCCAATGATTCTCTCTACCTTCACGGAGTTGCTCAGCGACTGAGAAGGGAGAGGATGGTAATGAAGGTAGCGAGTTCGTGTGGTGGGAGGAGCAGCCTGAAAGGTGATGTAAGTCCTGCTGGATTCGTCCTTTGGAGCCAGTACTAACGAGGCTGACTGTGATCAGATTCGGACTTAACTGTCTAGGGGCTTTGAAGGGTAGTTCATAGACTCCAGGATTATGGGAGCGTAAGCCCCGACACCTGGATTATCAAAAAAAATCAATAGTCTTAATTAAGTTGTCCTCGATCCACTAAAGAAAGCTAGCATTGAATTGGATATATAAACCTTTGCTATATTGCCTCTATATATACCGCTAGTTTCTACTCATCTCAGCTCACATCGATATCCTAGCTACCTTATCCTTCAATCTATTTTTCTTATTGATTATCTCATACGATCGTAGATTTAACAAAATGAGATTGCTGTTTGTGTCCGTCTCTCTAAAACTATTTGTCGGATTTTTCCTCAACAAATGTGATGGTGTGTAACGTAATTTAAAAGCCCCCAGTATATTTAACTACCTAAATATGTTTCTTAATAATTACCACGTCATTTTCTGAATATATTGGAAATCTTGGCTCCATTTTTATTCAGATTCTACGTGCTGTTATTATTCCTTTCAAGAAATTATGAGCTTCTTGAATGCCACTAAGGCACTAACACCTAATTAATTTGATTTTTTCAGGCAGTGATGACTACTATGTTAATGCCACTCTAGTACACAGTGATCCCGGAGCAGGTAAGTTTTTATTTGTTTATTTACCACTACTAAGTAGCATATACTATAATTATTATAATTTTTTTATTACTATTAATACTATGATTATTATTATTTTATTATTACTATTATTAGTATGATTATTATTATTATTATTATTATTATTATTATTATTATTAACACAACCATTGAAAATAATGATTTTTTTTTCAAGTTTGCTTGACGGGAAAACCTGCATCGTACTACTTTGACAATGGATTCAGCAGTGGAACACGTAATTGGCTAGTATATCTTCAGGTTAGTATATATTAATTGAATCATAGTCACATACTCTCATAGATGGCCAATTGGCCGCCATAAACGAAAAATTATGTACATGTTCTTGTTCTAGTTATAAGTCTATGCTGTAATAAATACTCCCTCCGTTCTTTTTTTAGTTGCAACAATCAACATTTCACATTTGCCAACGCACGTCTTTGATCGTAATTATATCTTAATTCTATTAGTAAAAAAATATTAAAAATCAGATTTTGAATATTTGTAATGAGATGAATTGAACAATATTTTAAAAAATAATAATTTTCATAAAATAATAGCGTAAAATGTAGTCAAAGTAGAGCATGTGAATAGTGTAAAATTCAACATGTTGCGATTAAAACGGAACGGGGGATATTAATTAACAAATAACCATTGCCTTATGAATCATTTAATTTACTTACATTGATTACTAAGGGAGGAGGATGGTGCAACAATCTCCAATACTGTGTCAAATATGCTCACGACAGAAACATAACCATAGACCTTAAACCGTACAACTTCCGTTACATACTGAGCAACAAGGAAGGTGAAAATCCAGGTAATTAATTAAGTACAAACTACAATGTATCTAGGCCGGATGAACAATTATTTGTAGGTTAATTAGTTAGTTAATTAATCTCAATCTGATTTCATTAGATGTTCTTACTTTTATTTCCTAACAATTTATTTTCGGGTCATTTCCAATTATTAGATTTCTTCAACCGGAATAAGGTCATGATTCGATATTGTGATGGCTCGTCATTCACGTCGGACTCGCCCAAAACTGATGAGTATAATGTATGATACTCTGTATATATTATCTCTTAAGAATTATATTCCGTAGTTGTTATCAACATCATCCTTAGACCATCTCCAATTCTACAATGTGCACGGTGCACATGTGGCATGAGAGATAGACACATAAATATTAGTAAATAAATTATTTATCTCCTTATTTGAATGCTTTCATGCAATTTTGGTAACTTTTTCTCCACAATGTCAAGGAGATCGTGTAGATGTTGACATTGTAGTTGACATTGCAGGTGAAAAAATACCAAAATTGTATAAAATCATTCAAATAAGGAGAGAGATAATTTATTTGCTAATATTTATGTGATTATCTTTCATGCCACATGTGTAACGTGCACACTATAACATTAAAGATGCTCTTACTGTTAAACTGGGACATGTCATGACGTCACTAGTCTTAATTAATTACTCAGGTTCAATTAATTAAGATATTTATATTTAAATGAGAATGTACGTTATTCTTTATCTGCAGGGCACCAAGCTCTACTTTTGAGGTTTGTCACGAGCTCGGAATGATATTGGCGGAAAATGTAAGCATTTTACAATTAATTACAAATTAAGAGTACGAAGTAATATTTATTTTTAAAGAAAATACAGTAATTTAGTAAAGATTTCATAAGTGCCCCCAATGGTACCTTAACTATTGGATGGTAATGTTGCATTTTGGTACTTCAACTCTTAAATGAATCCAAAATGTACCATGTGTCGAGCTAATAGCCCTATAGTGATCATATGGATAAAACTAAGGTGAAGTAGACTTTACACATAGAATTATGAGCGTCACACGTCATTTATTGGTCAGAAATTTAAATGAAATCTCAATTCGAAATATTTGTGTATAATTATGGTACTCGTTGGTGGATCGGCGGGAGGAGTTGCAGTCACACTCCATTGCGATGGATTTCGTGATTTCTTGCCTCATGCTACTACAGTAAAATGCTTGTCAGATGCAGGATATTTTTTTCCTTCGTAAGATACTATCATATAATCTATTTTATTTGACAATTTTCTAGATTATGATATTAAATATAAAGCCAACAGCAACCCAGACCGTCAATAAATCTAATCTAACACCAGTTTATACGTATTCAATCAATCAATTCAGTTTTTTCCTGCAACCCAGCATCGTTAAAATTGTACCAAATTAAATATCTTTTTATGATCTTTCATATGACACCAATATTTTATATGTAATTTTTTTGATCAAATTGTTCAAGTCTCGTGAACATACGTATTAGAAAACATACGTATTTTTTCATATATGACTCTTGACTACTATTAGAAAACATAGTAATTTTTTCATATATGACTCTTGACTACTATTAGAAAACATACGTATTTTTTTATTCCATTAAATGTTGCTTTGCGCACCCCAGAATTGCTTTATGTAATCATGGCATGACAAATTTGGCCTTTATATATATATTATATAAAATTAATTATTCAATGTATATTTACACAAAAAACGACCTTAGAACCAAAAGAACAAAGCAGAGGGATAGAAGCATGTGTGGGATTGAAAGTTTGTATGTTGTTGGAGGAACCAAGTTCAAATCCCCCTGGCCCTGGTGTCCCTTTTTTGTTTTCCAAACCTATTTTAATTAAATAAACCAAAACTACGTCGTTTTGGCCTATTTGTTGGGGGATGCTCCACACTCCACTCCTTCTTGTTCATATCAATGTTACATTAAATATACATCCAATAAAATGTTGCCATGTGGCAAATAATTCCTTTTTTTATAAAATGTTATAACTTTTTTAGTTTTGCTCCAATTTTTATAAAAATTATACCAAATTAAATATTTTTTTATGATCTTTCATATGACACCAATATTTTATATGTAATTAAAAAAAATCTGTTCAAGTCTCATGAACATACGTATTAGAAAACATGGGTATTTTTTCATATATGATTCTTGACTACTATTAGAAAACATAGTAATTTTTTTATATATGACTCTTGACTGCTATTAGAAAACATACGTATTTTTTATTCCATTAAATGTTGATTTGCGCACCCCAGAATCGCTTTACGTAACAATGACATGACAAATTTGGCCTTTATATATATTATATAAAATTAATTATTCAATGTATATTTACACAAAAAACGACCTTAGAACCAAAAGAATAAAATTTATATGTTGTTGGAGGTACCAAGTTCGAATCCCCTCTGGGGTCCCTTTTTTGTTTTCCAAAACTATTTAATAGACCAAAACTACGTCATTTTAGCCTATTTTTTGGGGGTTGCTCCACAGCTCCACACTCCACTCCATCTTGTTCATATCAATTTTACATTAAATATACATCCAATAAAATGTTGCCATGTGGCAAATAATTCCTTTTTTTATAAAATGTCATAACTTTTTCATTTTTGCTCCAATTTTTATAAAAATTATACCAAATTAAATATCTTTTTATGATCTTTCATATGACACCCATGTTTTATATGAAATTTTAAAAAAAAATGTTCAATTCTCGTGAACATACGTATTAGAAAACATACATATTTTTTCATATAAGACTCTTGACTACTATTAGAAAACACAGTCATTTTTTCATATATGACTCTTGACTACTATTAGAAAACATACGTATTTTTTTATTCCATTAAATGTTGCTTTGCGCACCCCAAAATTGCTTTACGTAACCATGGCATGACAAATTTGGCCTTCTTCATTATTAATTAAAATTAAAATTGTTTTACGCACCTCCACGCTCAGCTCCATTCAGAATTCAGACGGCTTGCCCCATATCAATTTTACAATCTATATCCAATAAAATGATGTGATAAGTCCGTATTACAACACGCATTTGATGCATGTTGAGATCAGTTGTTGATGTTTTCCCTAACTTTTAGGTGTCACAAATCTCAATTTTAGCTCAAGTTATGTATACCAGACGTCGGTTCGAGTTTTGTGTTATTTGGAGACAAAATCAGGAATTTAGAGTCCGGCACCGACGCTTGAAGAGAAATCGGGACAACTTGAGAAGCATTCGTGAGTGAATTGATAGCTTCGGAGCTCACCGGGAGGTTCACCAATGAAGATTTGATGACAAAAGAGCTTTAGGATTGGCTACAGGATCAAAAGAAGACAAATAGAGCTTGAAAACGATGTTCGGAATGTCCTTATGTCAATCGTTCAAACATATCTCTTTGTAGAAGCATCCAAAGGACACGAATAAAGTTGCATATGAAATCCAACTTCAAGGGCTATAAATCATATGAAGACACCATTGCAAGAATCTGAGAGGAAGAAGGTGAAAACAGACAATGAAGTCAGATGATCCATGTTGCGATTTCAGAATGAGACCTTCCACCATTTTATTAATATCTCTTGATTGGATGATCCCAAATCCCTAATTAAGCTGTAAACCCCTGTGCGTGGGCGCCGTGCGTGCCTCCTGGAGTCCTAATTTCGCCCGAATTGCTCCGTTTTTACTATTTAAACAGCCTGTAAACCCCTGTTTTGAGGGGGGGAGCTTAAAGAGAGCCCTAGGGACGAAATTTCTTCTACTTTTCCATCTTGTTTTTCAATTCCCTTGGATTATTTGTAAGTTACATCTTTTTAATTAATGACAATTAATTCTATTCTTCCCAATTCTATTGATTCTTCAATTATGAATTGTGAGTAGTTTTAATTAGGGATTTGGGATTGATGAAGGGGTAAATCATGATGTATGGCTAGTTTCTTGATGGATTAATTGCATGAATGCCGTTTAATTTGTGTTTGAATAATTGAATTGCTATCTTTTGTAATCTGGAACCGCGGCTAGATTTACAATTGCTTGTAAAATAAATTAAGAGAGATCTAATTTATTCTGAGACACATTCACACACACATTTAATCGCTCGCTAAGAGATTAGTAGCGATTAAGGGGCCGTAAGCTTGCTCGTTTTGGCAATAATTTAGGATCCTGTCGCATGAGAGATCAGCCTGGTCCCCTAAATTATTGTACTCTACGCCGCGAGAGCGGTAAGAACTTAGTATTGATTAGCTAGGCTCAATTAAATTAATTTCATGTAATTAAGCCTGATCTGCCAAAAATCTAATTACCCCGGAATCAATCCATGTTCCCTACTGTCATTAATTAGAAAGAACCCATTAGTTTAATTTCTTTTATTTTAATCGTTCATTCGCATTAGTTAATTTTCCCAATCAATCAAATTTCGCACGACGCATTTATTTTATTTATTTTTAATCGCTGAATTTTTTTAATTCTTAATTCCCTTTTGTCCGTCCCTGTGGAGACGATACTCGTACTTACACAACTATTCTACAATCTATTTTAAGTGCGAGAAAACTCACATCATGATGCGATGTGGCAAGTAATTCTTTATTTTATAAAATGTCATAACTTTTTCATTTTTACTCCAATTTTTATAAAAATTATACCAAATTAAATATTTTCTTATGATCTTTCATATGACACCAATATTTTATATGTAATTAAAAAAAATCTGTTCAAGTCTCATGAACATACGTATTAGAAAACATAGGTATTTTTTCATATATGATTCTTGACTACTATTAGAAAACATAGTAATTTTTTCATATATGACTCTTGACTGCTATTAGAAAACATACGTATTTTTTATTCCATTAAATGTTGATTTGCGCACCCCAGAATCACTTTACGTAACAATGACATGACAAATTTGGCCTTTATATATATTATATAAAATTAATTATTCAATGTATATTTACACAAAAAACGACCTTAGAACCAAAAGAATAAAATTTATATGTTGTTGGAGGTACCAAGTTCGAATCCCCCCTGGGGTCCCTTTTTTGTTTTCCAAAACTATTTAATAGACCAAAACTACGTCATTTTGGCCTATTTTTTGGGGGTTGCTCCACAGCTCCACACTCCACTCCATCTTGTTCATATCAATTTTACATTAAATATACATCCAATAAAATGTTGCCATGTGGCAAATAATTCCTTTTTTTATAAAATGTCATAACTTTTTCATTTTTGCTCCAATTTTTATAAAAATTATACCAAATTAAATATCTTTTTATGATCTTTCATATGACACCCATATTTTATATGTAATTTTAAAAAAAATGTTCAAGTCTCGTGAACATACGTATTAGAAAACATACATATTTTTTCATATAAGACTCTTGACTACTATTAGAAAACACAGTAATTTTTTCATATATGACTCTTGACTACTATTAGAAAACATACGTATTTTTTTATTCCATTAAATGTTGCTTTGCGCACCCCAAAATTGCTTTACGTAACCATGGCATGACAAATTTGGCCTTCTTCATTATTAATTAAAATTAAAATTGTTTTACGCACCTCCACGCTCAGCTCCATTCAGAATTCAGACGGCTTGCCCCATATCAATTTTACAATCTATATCCAATAAAATGATGTGATAAGTCCGTATTACAACACGCATTTGATGCATGTTGAGATCGGTTGTTGATGTTTTCCCTAACTTTTAGGTGTCACAAATCTCAATTATAGCTCAAGTTATGTATACCAGACGTCGGTTCGAGTTTTGTGTTATTTGGAGTCAAAATCAGGAAGTTAGAGTTCGGCACCGACGCTTGAAGAGAAATCGGGACAACTTGAGAAGCATTCGTGAGTGAATTGATAGCTTCGGAGCTCACCGGGAGGTTCACCAATGAAGATTTGATGACAAAAGAGCTTTAGGATTGGCTACAGGATCAAAAGAAGAAAAATAGAGCTTGAAAACGATGTTCGGAATGTCCTTATGTCAATCGTTCAAACATATCTCTTTGTAGAAGCATCCAAAGGACACGAATGAAGTTGCATATGAAATCCAACTTCAAGGGCTATAAATCATATGAAGACACCATTGCAAGAATCTGAGAGGAAGAAGGTGAAAACAGACAATGAAGTCAGATGATCCATGTTGCGATTTCAGAATGAGACCTTCCACCATTTTATTAATATCTCTTGATTGGATGATTCAGATCCAATTCGGCAAGTTGTGGTGGATAGAGGACTGAAGTATCTACAACTTTCATGAAGGAAGTTGTGTCAAATTCGAACTAGAAAAGCCGGAAAACTCACTGGAAGCCACGCACGCGTGTGTGGGGGGACGCACGCGTGCGTCTAACGTTTTTTACGCGCAAGTCTGTTGGATGCACGGACGCCACGCACGCGTGCGTGGGCGCCGTGCGTGCCTCCTGGAGTCCTAATTTCGCCCGAATTGCTCCGTTTTTACTATTTAAACAGCCTGTAAACCCCTGTTTTGAGGGGGGGAGCTTAAAGAGAGCCCTAGGGACGAAATTTCTTCTACTTTTCCATCTTGTTCTTCAATTCTCTTGGATTATTTGTAAGTTACATCTTTTTAATTAATGACAATTAATTCTATTCTTCCCAATTCTATTGATTCTTCAATTATGAATTGTGAGTAGTTTTAATTAGGGATTTGGGATTGATGAAGGGGTAAATCATGATGTATGGCTAGTTTCTTGATGGATTAATTGCATGAATGCCGTTTAATTTGTGTTTGAATAATTTAATTGCTATCTTTTGTAATCTGGAACCGCGGCTAGATTTACAATTGCTTGTAAAATAAATTAAGAGAGATCTAATTTATTCTGAGACACATTCACACACACATTTAATCGCTCGCTAAGAGATTAGTAGCGATTAAGGGGCCGTAAGCTTGCTCGTTTTGGCAATAATTTAGGATCCTGTCGCATGAGAGATCAGCCTGGTCCCCTAAATTATTGTACTCTACGCCGCGAGAGCGGTAATAACTTAGTATTGATTAGCTAGGCTCAATTAAATTAATTTCATGTAATTAAGCATGATCTGCCAAAAATCTAATTACCCCGGAATCAATCCCTGTTCCCTACTGTCATTAATTAGAAAGAACCCATTAGTTTAATTTCTTTTATTTTAATCGTTCATTCGCATTAGTTAATTTTTCCCAATCAATCAAATCTCGCACGACGCATTTATTTTATTTATTTTTAATCGCTGAATTTTTTTAATTCTTAATTCCCTTTTGTCCGTCCATGTGGAGACGATACTCGTACTTACACAACTATTCTACAATCTATTTTAAGTGCGAGAAAACTCACATCATGATGCGATGTGGCAAGTAATTCTTTATTTTATAAAATGTCATAACTTTTTCATTTTTACTCCAATTTTTATAAAAATTATACCAAATTAAATATTTTCTTATGATCTTTCATATGACACCAATATTTTATATGTAATTAAAAAAAATCTGTTCAAATCTCATGAACATACGTATTAGAAAACATAGGTATTTTTTCATATATGATTCTTGACTACTATTAGAAAACATAGTAATTTTTTCATATATGACTCTTGACTGCTATTAGAAAATATACGTATTTTTTATTCCATTAAATGTTGATTTGCGCACCCCAGAATCGCTTTACGTAACAATGACATGACAAATTTGGCCTTTATATATATTATATAAAATTAATTATTCAATGTATATTTACACAAAAAACTACCTTAGAACCAAAAGAATAAAATTTATATGTTGTTGGAGGTACCAAGTTGGAATCCCCCTCGGGTCCCTTTTTTGTTTTCCAAAACTATTTAATAGACCAAAACTACGTCATTTTGGCCTATTTTTTGGGGGTTGCTCCACAGCTCCACACTCCACTCCATCTTGTTCATATCAATTTTACATTAAATATACATCCAATAAAATGTTGTCATGTGGCAAATAATTCCTTTTTTATAAAATGTCATAACTTTTTCATTTTTTCTCCAATTTTTATAAAAATTATACCAAATTAAATATCTTTTTATGATCTTTCATATGACACCATATTTTATATGTAATTAAAAAAAAATGTTTAAGTCTCGTGAACATACGTATTAGAAAACATACATATTTTTTCATATAAGACTCTTGACTACTATTAGAAAACACAGTAATTTTTTCATATATGACTCTTGACTACTATTAGAAAACATACGTATTTTTTTATTCCATTAAATGTTGCTTTGCGCACCCCAAAATTGCTTTACGTAACCATGGCATGACAAATTTGGCCTTCTTCATTATTAATTAAAATTAAAATTGTTTTACGCACCTCCACGCTCAGCTCCATTCAGAATTCAGACGGCTTGCCCCATATCAATTTTATAATCTATATCCAATAAAATGATGTGATAAGTCCGTATTACAACACGCATTTGATGCATGTTGAGATCGGTTGTTGATGTTTTCCCTAACTTTTAGGTGTCACAAATCTCAATTTTAGCTCAAGTTATGTATACCAGACGTCGGTTCGAGTTTTGTGTTATTTGGAGTCAAAATCAGGAATTTAGAGTCCGGCACCGACGCTTGAAGAGAAATCGGGACAACTTGAGAAGCATTCGTGAGTGAATTGATAGCTTCGGAGCTCACCGGGAGGTTCACCAATGAAGATTTGATGACAAAAGAGCTTTGGGATTGGCTACAGGATCAAAAGAAGACAAATAAAGCTTGAAAACGATGTTCGGAATGTCCTTATGCCAATCGTTCAAACATATCTCTTTGTAGAAGCATCCAAAGGACACGAATGAAGTTGCATATGAAATCCAACTTCAAGGGCTATAAATCATATGAAGACACCATTGCAAGAATCTGAGAGGAAGAAGGTGAAAACAGACAATGAAGTCAGATGATCCATGTTGCGATTTCAGAATGA